AAAGATAGAGAACAAACTGAGGGTTGATGGAGGGAGATGGGTGGAGGATGGGCTAGATGGGTGGCAAGTATTAAGGAGGGAACCTGCTGTGATGAGCACTGGATGTTATAAGTGAGGAATCACTGAATTCTACTCCTGATACCTCTATGGCACTGTATGTTAACTAACTATAATTTAAACAAAAATTTGAAAAGATAATTTGACTATTTTATGTGGGTCTATTTCCAAGTTCTCTATTATGTCCCACTGATTGGTCTATTCTTGCACCAATACCACCCTGTCTTGATTATTGCACCTTTATAGTGAGTCTTGAAGTTAGGTAGTGTTAGCCCTTCAACTTTTGTCTTTGTTTCTTATTGCTTTGCTTCTTCTGGATCTTTTGCTTCTCCATATAACTCTTAGAATCAGTTTATCAATATCCAGAACATAACTTGCTGGGATTTTGATTGGGATTGCATTGAATCTGTAGATCAAGTTGGGAAGAACTGACATCTTGACGATCAAAGACTGGAGTTTTTAACTCTCAGACTTGTGCACACTAAGCATCCAGAAATTTGTCAATCATAGTTCAGGTTTTTCTACCCCATTCTCATGGTGGTTTTCTATCATTAATCTCTGCTCCAGCAAGCCATGCCTCGCTGTTATTGACCTATGTCTCGCTAATCTTGGGGGTAGTGGTTTTCCCTGTGTCCTCCCCTCGCCTATAGATCCAAGAAGAGTTGTTGATTTTTCAGTCTGTTCAGCCTTGTACTTGTTGGGAGGGAGTAGCAACTTCCAAGCCATGCGGGACCAGAAACCAGAAGTCAATGATTTTTTTTAAAGTTATTACACTTCTCAAAAAATTTAAAATAAAATTATCATACGATCCAGTGATTCTATTACTATTCTATACTATTACTCAAAGAAAACAAAAACACTAATTTAAAAAGATATATACTCCTATGTTTACTGCAGCATTATTTACAATAGCCAAGATATGGAAGCAACCCAAATGTCCATCAATAGATGAAGGGATAAAGAAGATGGCTATGTGGGGGGCGTGTGCATGCGTGTGTGTAATGGAATATTTTTCAGCCATAAAAAAGAATGAAGTCTTGCCATTTGTAACAACATGGATGGAGCTAGAGAGTATTATGCTAAGGGAAATAAGCCAGTCAGAAAAAGACAATATCATATAATTTCACTCATATGTGTAATTTAAGAAATAAAACAAATGAACAAAGGCAAAAATACAAACAAATAGCCACTCTTTTTTTGGTTTATTTATTTACTTTGAGAGATTAAGAGAGAGAGAGAGAGAGCAAGGAAGGGGCAGAGAGAGAGAGAGAGAGAGAGAGAAAACAGACTCTTAAATGTAGATAACAACCTGGTGGTTGCCAGAGGTAAGGTCAGAGGGGGATGTATAAAATAGGTAAAGGGGATTAAGAGTACACTTACCATGATGAGCACTGAGTAATGTATAGAATTGTTGAATCACAATATTGTACATCTGAAATTAATGTAACACTGTGTGTTAATTACACTGGAATTAAAAAAAAAAACATGACACTTCATAATTTTGCATGTCAGGAATTTGAGCAGGGCTGAGATGGCAACCATTCTGCTCCATATGGCATCACGTGGCATCAGATGGCACCTGGACTGCTCCAGAGCATTTTGTTGTTGCTGTTGGTGTTGTTGCAAATTACACGTAAAATGTACCACTTTAAAATTTCCCACTCAATGGCATAAAGTTGTGCAACCCTTAAGGAACTCTCTGGTTCTAGATGCCCTGTTTTGTCTGGCTTCTTTCACATTCTTTCTTCCACAATGCTTCCGATGTTCATCCATGCTGTGGCACGTGTCAGTACTTTATTCCCAGCGATGTATGAGGGCTCCAGTTACTCTGTATCTTCAACACACTTATTTCCTTTTTGACGATGACCGTCTTGGTAGATGTGAAGTGTTCTCTTATTTTGGTTTGGATTTGCATGTCCCTGATTACATGTTGACCATCTTTTCATGGGCGCGTTGGCCATTTACACTTCACGTGCTCCTTTGTGTGTGTTCTTTGGAGATGGGTTTTTTCAAAAGTTTTTTGGCCTATTTTTCCTTAGATTGTTTGTATCTTTGTTGTTGAGTGGAAAGAATGCTTTTTTATATTATGGATACTGGACTCTTATTAGATGTATGTGTTACAAATATAAAATACTCCCATCTTATGGATCATCTTTTCACTCTCTTGATAGTCCTTTGAGGTACAAAAGCTTTTAATTTGTATTTATTTTGAGAGAGACAAAGACACTAAAAGAGGGGGAGGTGCAGAGAGAGAGGGGGAGAGAGAGAATCCCAAGCAGGCTCTGCACTGACAGCCTCACAAAGTGTGAGATCATGACCTGAGCCAAAATCAAGAGTCGGACACTCAACCAACTGAGCCACCCAGGCGCCCCTAAAAGCTTTTAATTTTGATGAAGACAAATGATCTATACTTTTCTTTTGTTGCTTGTGCTTTTGGTGCCATATTCAAGAAACCATTGTCAAATGCAAGGTCATGAAGGTTAACTCCAAAGTTTCCTTCTAAGAGTTTTAGGGATTTAGCTCCTATTGATTTATTGTTCATTGATTTTTGTGTCTGGTATGAGATGAGTATCCAACTTCTGTTACTGATTTCTAGTTTGATTCCATTATGGCAAAGGAGCTACTTTGTATGATTTCCATCTTTTAAAATTCATTGAGACTTGTTTTATGGCTTAGTATACGGACAATCCTGGAGAGCACTTTGTGAGCACTTGAGAATATGTACCCTGCTGTTGTTGGGTGGGCGCTCTACAGGTGTCTGTTAGACCTAATTGATGTATAGCATTGCTCAAGTGCGCTCTTTCCTTACTGATCCTCTGACTAGTTTATCCACTATGGTGCTGAGCCTAACGCTTCACCAGAGGTGAAATCTTATGGTCTTCTCAGGTCTTTTCGACTCTGAGCCCTGCCCCGGGCATGCACATGGTTTTCTAGATATCCAGGTACACACACAGGAGCATTTCAAAGCCCTCATTCTCCAAGGTAACTCATTCCCCAGTTTTTCCTTCCAGGAGTTGGGTGAACCAGAAGCAATTGCCCCCCTTGCGTCAATCCTTCAGGGAGCTCCAGACAGGTTCAAACAGACAAACATAATTTCTTGGGACTGAGGTCCACTCCCCTCCCTCCAGAAGCGAGAACCCACACATAGAACGTAAGCTGTCATCCTCAAGACTGGGTGGGGGGGGCAAGAATACGTTCAAATGCCACAAAACTCTCTTATCATGTTTCACTGGCTTTTCTCCTGATTCAGTGTTCGCTTGGTTGCTATAAACCTTTGCTATCTTCCAGAGTCCTTCATTCTGACAGGTGTCTTTTTCAGTGTTTTCAGTGTTTCTGGAGAGGGACTGACCCCCAGAATACCCTGCTCTGCCATTTCCCCCAACATCGCTGGGTTCTGTGAGTGATGTTTTGAAGTTTCAATCCTTATGTTAACATCTTCACTTTATAATGTGCACTCTGTTTTCTGTCAGGAGTAACAAGTCACAGGAAAGATAAAACTAGAAATGTCTCCAGCATTAACAAACTTGTGAAAACCAATAAAATGATTTATTTTATATATGCAAACTCAAAATCTCTTTGTACACTTAAATTTCTGCAAATTAATCCAGACAAAACAATACTGCTCCATATAAACCTTTGTATAAACCTTAAAGGAAATATATACATTATTTTTTTTTTCTTTTAGTGCTCCCAAAGCACAGAACGTACAAGTCTGCCTGAAGACTTTCGGTCATCACACGCAAGAACAAATGTCAGGGTTGGGGCAGCCTCAGGTGCACTTTGTAATGTCTCTAGACAAAATACAAGAGAGTTGGAGGTAGATCATTTGTGACTCACCCTGCCCCCTCCCACAGAGAAATAAGTTACCCGAATAGCAGCTTTCTTACTCTTTGTTTCAAACTGTCCTGAATATTGCATGGTTTAAAAGGCACAACTAGGAATTGTTGAAAACTCTGTTCAGCACACACAAGATGACCACCAAGCAGTGCTCCACGTTACAGGTGGCTCTTAGTCACTCTGGAAATGCCCAGAACAGCAAAGTTCATATGAGGAAACCCTTGTCACATCTAGAAGGGGCGACAGTGGGGCGCCTGGGTGGCTCAGTTGGTTGAGCGTCCGACTTCGGCTCAGGTCATGATCTCGCAGTTTGTGAGTTGGAGCCCCGCGTCAGGCTCTGCGCTGACAGCTTGGAGCCTGGAGCCTGCTTCGGATTC